CTGTAGAACAGAGAACCAAGAAAAATGTTAATTTTACCGTTGTAAGTATAAATAGATTACTTATTATTTTTCTGATTTATTTAATGTGTAAGAGTGTTTTGCTAAGGGTGGAGAGATGGCTCAGCGGTTAAGAGCACTGGCTGTTCTTCCAGAGGACCTGGGTTCAATTCCCAGCATCCACATGGCAGCTCACAACTGTCTCTAACTCTAGTTCCAGGGGACCTGGCATCTTCATAAAGACATACATGCAGGCAAAACATCAATGCACATAAATAAAAAGAAATTTTAAAAAAAGTGTTTTGCCAGGCATCGGTGGCGCACGCCTTTAGGCTGGCTTGGAATTCACAGAGATCTGTCTGCCTCTGCCTAGGGAGCGAGATTAAAAGCATGTACTACCACACCTGGCCACTTTTTTTTTAAACAATAAAATGAAGTAGCCAGTATTTTAAAGAACTAAATCGATGTACTAACCCACTTTAAGCTTCCTGATGACACCCTGCCCTCACAAGCCACTGCACAAGCCGGAGGACACTTGCTTCATCTCAGTCTATAATGGACAATGTTGCTTTATCTCATGGGCAGTGAGTGAATGATCTTTCTTTTCTTCCTTCCTTCCTCCCTCCCTCCCTTCCTTTTTTTGAGGAGACAGGGTTTGTCTGTGTAGCCTTGATTGTCCTGAAACTTATTCTGTAGACTGGGCTGGCCTCGAACTCAGAGATCCACCTGCCTCTGCCTCCCAAGTATTGCACTTGGCTGGGAACTATCATTTATTTATTTATTTATTTAAATTTTTGTGACAGAGTTTCTCTGTGTAACCCCGGCTGTCCTGGAACTGGATCCGTACACGGGTCCCAAACTCAGAGATGTAACTGCCCCTGCCTCTGAGTGCCGACTAAAGGCATGGGCCCCCATGCCCAGCCCAGGACATGATTCTTATTACCAGCTGCTGTGGGTCTGTATGCAGTCCAAACACAGGTCTGACCCAATGCCTTGACAACATACACTTTCTCTTCTGTGTAGAGTGTGCAGTGTGTGTATGTATGTATGTATGTCTGTGTAGAGTGTGCAGTGTATGTATGTATGTCTGTGTACAGTGTGGTGTATGTATGCATGTCTGTGTAGAGTGTGCAGTGTGTGTATGTATGTATATCTGTGTAGAGTGTGCAGTGTATGTATGTATGTCTTTGTAGAGTGTGCACTGTGTGTATGTATGTATATCTGTGTAGAGTGTGCAGTGTGTGTATGTATGTATATCTGTGTAGAGTGTGCAGTGTATGTATGTATGTATGTCTGTATAGAGTGTGCAGTGTATGTATGTATGTCTGTGTAGAGTATGCAGTGTGTGTATGTATGTATGTATGTCTGTGTAGAGTGTGCAGTGTATTATGTATGTATGTATGTATGTATGTGTAGAGTGTGCAGTGTATTATGTATGTATGTATGTGTAGAGTGTGCAGTTATGTATGTATGTATGTATGTATGTATGTATGTGTAGAGTGTGCAGTGTGTGTATGTATGTATATCTGTGTAGAGTGTGCAGTTATGTATGTATGTCTGTGTAGAGTGTGCAGTGTATGTATGTATGTCTGTGTAGAGTATGCAGTGTGTGTATGTATGTATGTATGTCTGTGTAGAGTGTGCAGTGTATTATGTATGTATGTATGTATGTATGTGTAGAGTGTGCAGTGTATTATGTATGTATGTATGTATGTGTAGAGTGTGCAGTGTATGTATGTATGTATGTATGTATGTATGTATGTATGTATATATGTCTGTGTAGAGTGTGCAGTGTGCTTATGCTGCCTTCTGGTGACTTCTCTACTTTATACGATGCTAACTTCAGGTGACAAGAAACTAGGAACTATATATAGATTCAACTTAACATTAGCCTGATAAAGCAGAATAACAAAAATTAACCTAATGTGTGTTTTTTATTTCTTTTTTTGTTTTTCCAGATAAGGTTTCTCTGTGTAGCTCTGCCTGACCTGGAACTAGTTCTGTAGAGCAGGCTGGCCTCGAACTCACAGAGATCCGGCTGCCTCTGCCTCCTGAGTGCTGGGATTAAAGGCATGTGACACAACACCTAGTTTTTAATTTATTTTTATTTTATGTGAACTGGTGTTTTACTTGTATGTATGTCTGTGTAAAGGTGTTAGACCCACTGAAACTGGAATTACAGGCAGTTGTGAATTGAACCCAGGTCCTCCAGAATAACAGCCAGTTATTATCTCTGCAGCCCCATGGCTATTTCTGATTATTTTTTAGCTTATGTACATATGCACACACACACACATACACACACACACTCTTGTGCATTTACACACACACACACACACACACACACCAGTGCACTCCATGTGAGTGTAAGTGCCTGTAGAGGCATTAAGTACTCTGGAGCTGGAGTTACAGGAGGGCCTGAGCCGCCTGATGTGGGCGCAGTAGCTGCCACCCCAGGTCAGTCTGCCCAGCTTCAGCCCTTCTTCCAGCCTCTGTGGTGAACCTCATCTTACTTCTCGTTACCATTTTACTACATTCTGTTCCATCTGTTTGTTTGACAGCCAGGAGATATTCCAGATCAGGTCTAATAAATATGGTAGGAGATAAATTTGGTGAATGCCATGTTTTAAAAATAAAAACAAAGGCCAGCCTGATCTACAGAGTGAGTTCCAGGACAGGCTCCAAAGCTACAGAGGAACCCTGTCTCGAAAAACCAAAAATAAATAAATACAAAATAAAAACAAAGTTTGCTCTAAGCTAGAGGATGACTTTCATCTACTACGCATGACCAGGAAATACTCGTGCAACCCCAAGTCTCGTTGGGCCCGGGCACTGCCGTAAGAACGCCTGAGCATTCTGTTCTCTTTATATCTCCCTTTTAAGATTTTTTTGAGATTAAAATATGACTGCATCATTTTCCTTCCCTCTCCCCCCGCCCCTCTCCTGCTACTATGCCTGTCACTGTCATACCTCCCAGCCACAACGGGCCCTCTTATACTCTCAAACTCTCCCTTCTGTAATTTGCCTTGGTCATAGTATCCTTTTTCCCCCTCTCTGTAGCTCTGGCTGTCCAGGCGGTCACTGTGTAGAGCAGGCTGGCCTCAAACTCACTGAGATCCGCCTGCCTCCGCCTCCCCAGTGCTGGGACCAAAGGCGTGCACTGCCCCCACTGCCTGGTCATGGTCACAGTTTTATCACAGCAACAGAGAGTGACTAATCTGTTCAAGTGGCAGCAGCTCCAGATTAAAGCTGTGGTGGTTTGAAAGAGACTGTCCCTCGAAGGCTCATAGATCTGGGTACCCGGACACCAGGGAGCACCATTAATTAGTGATCAGGAAGTGGGGTCTTATTGGCATCATTGAGGGTGGTCTCTGAGGTTTCGAGAAACCATTCCGCAGGGTGTGGTGGCACGAGGCTTTAATCCCAGCAGAGGCAGGTAGATTTCTGAGTTTGAGGCCAGCATGTCTACAGAACGGAGTTCCAGTGCAGCCAGGGCTATGTAGAGAGATCCTGACTTGAGAACCAAAAACTAGACCTATTTACTTATACTGTATATGTATGTGACTATGTGGTATACAAATGCCTGTGTGGTCATGCAGATGCATGATGGGTAAGCCTGTGCACATACTCACAGACCAGAAGAGGGTGCCAGGTGTCTTTCTTATTATTCTGCCTGTTGCCACAAGGCTGGAGTTTTCTAGGCTACAAGGGAGCAATCCTCCAGTCTCCGCCCACTTTCAGTCACAGCCTGTGATGGACACTAGACTTGTTACTTGGGCACTAAGATCCCAGATTCCAGTCTTCAGTTTTGTACAGCAAGTACTCTTAACTACTGAGCCATCTCTCCACTCCCTTCTGTTTTCTTCAGAAAGGGTTTTATTGTATAGCCTAGGCTGGCCTTGAACTCATAGCAGACCTCTTCCTCAGTCTCCCAAGTGCTGGGGTTATAGCCATGAGCTATTACACCTGCCTCTCAGTCTATCGCAACAAGGCTCTGCACTGGGCAGCTTCCCAGGTCTAACCCATCGCAGGCTCTCGGTTCCCCCTTCCGACTTCTCACAGGTGCTCTCCCTCTGCTGTGCATTCTGTGTCTGGGTCCTTACGGCTAAGCTTACCATTTCCTGGTCCTCACGCTGGCTGTCACTGTCCTCACGCTGGTTGTCACTGTCCTCGGTGCTGGCTGTCACTGTCCTCGGCGCTGACTATCACTGTGCTGAGATGCTGCAGCACTCACCTTCTAGGTTTCCTTCTTCCTGCACAGTGTCCTGGCTCTGTCTCAGCCACTTTACCCGCACAGTGTCCTGGCTCTGTCTCAGCCACTTTACCCGCACAGTCTCCTGGCTCCATCTCAGCCACTTTCTCGGCCTTGCTTACAATTTCTACCCGCTTATTCCTTTAGAATAAAAACTCCCTGTTTCCGTCACTGCCAGGATCTGTGTCATCCTTATTCCTCCACCGTGGCAGACGATCAAGTTCTAACTTCATCGTTTCAATCCATGTACTTCCCACCATGTCCACCACCAGGGGGCTACATGAGTCTTCACTATTTCACGGTTAGGTTAACACAATGGCTATTTTTTGTTTGTTTTTTGAGACAGTTTGTCCCACAGTCAATGGTGGCTTCATATATGGCTGACTGAGGCTAACCTTGAACTCCTGATCTGTCGTCTGCCTTTCAACTCCCAAGTGCCTGGACCACATACAGGTATGTATGCATGCCTGGCCTACGACACTGGCTTTCTTGTTTATTTCAGACGGGATCTCACTCTGTAGCCCTGGCTGTCCTGGAACTCACTATGTAGAACATGCTGGCCTCAACCTCACCAATATCTTCTTGCCACAGTCCCCAGAGTGCTGGGATCAAAGGCACGCACCACCACGCCCAACGACACAGGCTCTTTTGGTTTTGCTTTGTTTTGTTTTTGGGATAGGCTTTCATTGTGTAGACCAGGCTGGCCTTGAACTCCCAGAGACCTGCCTGCCTCGGCCGCCGTGCTGAGATT